AACTGACGGCGCCGCCACCAGGGCTCCTTTAGCTCGTGCAATAGTGAAGTGCTCAACCTCTAGGCCAAAAGGCTGGTGGTTCAAATCCACCCAGAGGGGCCCCGGACGCAGAAAGTCACCGTCTTCAACACTCTGTGGGGCAGCTGAACTCCATCTGAATGGCTTCCCCATAAATGGACGAGTAGCAGTAATGATTGTTATCGGTTCCCACAGAGCATGGCATCCAGCAAGGGCGGGGACAGAGGTGCAATCAGTGGGCAAGCTTGCTCCCCTCCCCCACTCCCAGTTCCAGAAGGCTAGTCCATTCAGCCCAGTAGCACATCTACCTGGACTTCCTCCAGGCCCTGCCCGTGTCTTTCTCAGAAGAGAAAACCAGGAGTATTTGGGGAAGAGGTCGTTTGGTTTTACAGTTTCTACTGGAACTTTCAAAGGTGTCCGTCGTTCCCCTACCCCACCCCCGTACTCCTCACAAAACAGAGAACAGACTCACTGCTATTGAACGGATGCTGACTCACAGCGGCCCTATAGGGCAGGGTAGAACTGCCCCTGTGAGTTTCCGAGGCAGTAAATCTTTATGGGCGCACAAAGCCTTGTCTTTCTCTCCAGGAGCAGCTGGTGGTTTCGAACTGCTGACCTTAAGGTTTGCAGCCCAATGAGTAACCACAATGCAGCCAGGCCTCCGACAAAGATTGTGATCATCGACCTGACTGTGCCGCAAACACTGTCGCCACCATCACCGAGGGCCCCCTCACACACACCAGTTCTTCACGCACGACCCCTCGCACCAAGCCTGAGAGGCCTGCAGTGTGTGGGTTCAGAACACGGGGCTCTGGGGCTGAGGACCCTGGCTCATATCTCCACACCCTCTTAGCTGTGTGACCTCGGGCAGGTGGGTTGTCTAACCTCTCTGAACCTCAGTTTCTGTGGCTGGAAAACAGGGCCCACCATGATTTCCTGCCTCCGAAAGCTAAGTGCAGGGTCGCTGAGCTACAGAAAGCTCTTCTGTGATGAGTTCGAGGGAGCCCTGGTGCTGTCCTGGGTTACGCACCGACCTGCTCACCACAAGGTCAGTGCTTCAAATCCACCAGCTGCTCCTCGGGAGAAAGGTGAGGCTGGCTGCTCCTATAAAGATTTAAAGTCTCAGAAACCCCCAGGGGCAGTCATGCCTTGTCCTATAAAGTCGCTATGACTCAGAATCCACCCAAGGACAGTGAGTTTGGTTTGGCTTGGGAGATGAGTTCTCGAGTGGGCCCTTCCCATGGTTACAATGAGCACGATTGTTATCCCTCGTTTCCAGGAGGAAGGATGTGCAGGCCTGCAGGCAAGCCGCGATCTAAACCTGGCCTGTAGCTGCCTCGGGTTTGGGTTTCCTCCTCCGCCCCACAGGGACCAGGAGCAGGTGGGGGAGGTCCTGATCCGACCCAGTGATTCCACACAGCAAGGAGCAAGTCCACCACCCTGGAGTCGACCTTATAGAAGAGTGTAGAACTGCTCCTTAGAAGCGGGGTATCTTTAGGGGTGCAGGCAGCCTCATCTTCCTCCCGTGGAGTGAGGGGCTGGTGGGTTCACACCACCGACCTTTCCACAAGCAGCCAATGTTCCTTTATGGCCCCGGAAGAGGGACTCATTCCCACCCAGTCAGGGATCGCCCCAGCTTGTCACAGAGCCACCAAAGGTAAAAGCCACCCTCCACTGCTGCGCTACAGGGCTAGGGAAGGGGTGGGGTAGAGCTTGAAGCCAGAGCTAGTCTGTCTCTGTGCCCTCCACGTCCAAATCCCACACACAACTAGAATGTTTGAGGCCTGGGGAGGGGCTGACAGAACCTCGTGACCACATGGGGACTTCCAGGTCAGTGGAGGGCTTGGGGAGTTGGGGTGTACAGGAAGGGATCCCCTAGGGGGATTCCACTAGAGCAGAGATTCAACTCAACACACTGCCCTCAAGTTGATTCTAACTCGTCTCCACCCTAGATGTCATAGCAGAACTGCCCCGGTGGGTTTCCCGAGACTGCAACTCTTTACAGGAGCCCACGGCCTCATCTTTCTCCCCCGGAGCAGCTGGTGGTTTCAAACCGCTGAACTTGCCCACTAGTCCTCCAGAGCTTCACAGGGGCTCAAGAGAGTGGGTAATCTTCAATCAGGGGCTGATGTCCAAGTTCAAAATGGATCAGGGTGTGGGGCTGGGGTCTTGGGTCCCAAGGAACAAGCAGACCCTGGTGGGGGTAGTTCTAGGTCATAGCTGGGGCTGGGAAAGGAGACTTTGGGCAGAGGTGGCTTCTGGACTCTGGGATGCCTGCAGGGAGGTGCCTGGGAAAGGTACAGCAAAGGGGTGATTAGAGAGACGTCACGTCAGAGTTGTTCTGGCAAGCCCTGGCCACTGAGCCAAGGCACCAGGTGTGCCAGGGAGGCCAAGATGCCCACATCTGACACCAAATCCCAGTCCATATGCGCCCCCAGCCCTGTGTGACAGGGACCGCTCCCCTCCTCTTCCCTCCTCAGCTGAGCGGCCAGTAGCCCTTCTGGAGGGAGGGAGGGACACCTGAAGTGGGCTCAACAAGGAGCCGAAGCAGAAAAGGGGCAAGGCCTTCAGGCTGAGTTCAGACTTCCAGCCCCCTCAGCGCTGAGGAAATAAATCTGCCTGTGAGACCCACTGGAACAGCACTGAAAACCCAAACGGAGACTTTGGGCCTGGGAACTTGCCCTTGAAGAAAGGAAAAATAGGTCCCATGCAGGCTGGGGCCCGGAGTGGTGAGGGATCCCCACGGTGGGCCAGAGGAGACCGGAGAGGCCCCAGGTACCCAGGATCCTTCAGTTGGGAAGTCCCCAGTGGGCAGGGAATCTTGGGTCAAGGAGAAGAGGCTCAGAGAGCCCAGGTCCCAGGGTTGACCTTGAGCGTGGAGGAGAAGCACTGCTTCTACTCACTGATACTCTGAAGGGCACTGGGGACCCTGGTATGGGGGCTCACTCTGGTGGTGCGTGGAGTGCTTGGGGCCCAGAGAGGTGTGAGAGTCTCAGCTGGGGGG